CTGGGTCGTGAACTCGGCAATGACTGGGCTGATCCCCATGTTTTAGTGCCTCGTTTCACTCTCTCTTGTCACCCTCACTTCATTCCTCCTCTTCCATCTTAGTTCTGGCCACAGCTGGAGAGGAGTCCAGTTCTGACATGCTCTGATCTGGGAACATGGTGTTTGGGGGATGAAAACTATAATTTTCTTTAGATTGCCAGCAGTTGCTGGGGGTAAAACCCCTTCAGGAGCGTGGTGCTACTCATCCCCAGCTGCTGCCACGCTGCTTTGGTGAAAAATCCTGCTCCAAGAAGTTGTGGACAGAAATACCAGTTTAGTGGCATCCGTATCTGTACGATGGCACATCTGCTCATCTCCCGTTCCTCAGCTGAAGCCTCCTATGACCCTCTGTTTGAGAACTGTGGAGCTTAATAAGTGACTGACAAAATGGCTGCTGGGCTTACTGCTGCGTCTTAACAGCACTATGGATTTGGTGCTGACGAAAATAAAGACCAATAGCACTGAGGTGTCGTGTGGAGGTGGATTGGGCCAGAAGAAGAGTTGCATGTCAAGTGTACAAGGAAGCAGAGCTGCCCTCTGGGCACTGGGTGCCCTGTCCCTCACTTTGAAGGGCGTTAAATCAGATGTAGGGCATGCATGAGCCTTTGAAAAGAGGTAGCAAGTTGTGAGCAGGTCCAAAGGGAGATGAGTTTTCCCGCTGCGCTCCCACATTTATAGATTTTTTTTTTTTTTTTGTGAAGTTATGTTTATGCCTGTCTCTTCTTGTTTCCTCTTTAGTGGTTGAATCAGAGCCACAATGCCTGCGTCAACTATGCAAACCGCAACGCGACAAAGGTGAGGAGACCCAACATATGCGGCGCGTGCAGCGCGTTAGGTCTGTTTTGACACGGAAACATAAGTCTTGTCTCTTCACTGTTAATAGAAACTCCGGAGTCGGCACTGTGATGAATTTATAGATTGGCCATTCTCCTGTGTAGACTTCCATTTTAAACCTCAGCTGTAAATGGCATGAGGATCTCGAAATCGCTCGAGGCACATAAGTAACGCTCAGCGCCTTTGAGCTGAACTAGTATATAGTTCTAACTGGTATGAAATGATTTAACTTGATAAGTAAATGAGCACAAAGCAAAATGGTATCTGGGTTTTTGGATAGCAGAAAGCGGCTCCATGATCGGGCTGCCGTCTCCTGAGGACTTTATATGTGCTACCAGCAGTGGTGCCGGGGAGTGGTGGGGCTGTTCCTGCTCTCTTCCATCGCTTTAGCCTTCATTCGTCCCGTGTCGGGATGTGGGAAGCTCAAGAGGGGAAGCTGAGCTGGAAACCATCCAGCTCATTGGGATAACATTTCAAAGGCAAATATTTAATGTGGAGAGTTTGGGGTTCATCACTAGTGTATAAGAATGCTAATTTTGTACCATTTGCTGAATTTCATTCACATACTTCCCTTAAGCTGCTATTATTATAATTTTCTGATGCCAATTAATTTCCATTCCCTTTAACCTTGCTCATGAGGCTACAATTTTCATTGCTTTTGCCGCTGCTAGATGACAGACCATGTGTCACAGAACAATATGACAAAATTAAACCTGTCTCTGCTTTAAAACAAATGAAAACAAAACAAACAAAAAAGCTTGGTTGCATTTTAATAACCAGAAGTTTGTTTACTGCAAATATGTTTTGTTTTTCTTTCCAAAGCCTTCTCCGACATCCAAGTTCATCCAGGGCTACTTGGGAGCTGTCATAAGTGCTGTCTCAATAGCAGTGGGTAACGCTTTATATCTATATATTCCACTACTAACTGCTCCCTTACAGTAGTACTGCAGTGCTTTTGAGATGTTTGTTTGAATTGCCAAGCATGTTTATCTTTTAATTGACAGAATTCAGTCTCCATGACCAAAAAATATTTTAACCGTGAGGTGTCTCTGTCCATGCATGCGCAAACTTTTCAACAGAAGGAGACTTCTACTGCTGATGGCTTCCAGCCCGTCCTGTACCGTGCACTGCCTGGGTCTCTGCACGGTGGCTTTGCTGCTGGGTGAACTCAGATTATCCACGCGTGCATTAACTCGTGGTGAATTAGCCTCGTCCAAGTTAAAGGTGACTTTGAGGCTGCAGAGTGGTAGTGTGACAGCTGACGTGCTGAACAGAGGCAGGCTTTTGGAGATACTCTCCCGGTGGGTCAGCACCTTGAATTGAAAGAACCACGGTGCTCGAAATGACGTCTTTCATCTGTGGACGGCGTTCAAGCAGGAGAGGAGCTTTTAACATTGCTGAAGTCGTGGTCTCGTGGTGCAGTCTTCAGGCTTTTAATACTCAGATTCCCCAGAAGCACAAGTTGACATCTTTAGCAGGGTCAACTAATTCCCGAGGAGGCAGGTACATTTTTCAGGAGCAACTTACGGAAGTTATTTCTTACACTGGCTTTTCAAATAAGCCTCTGAAACGTATGGTTGTACCTTTTCTCCTGGAACATTAAAGATCCCACAGCAGTTTGTATTTTTTTTCCTCTGGCCAAGACTTTTTTCCTTTTTCTCAAGCCACAGACATCCTGTTCCAGGCATTTTTTCTGCAAACAGACTGTGCCATGGGTGGAGGTCAGCACTCAGCCTGCTCACCACGCCATTTGTATCCAGGTTCCCCAATTCACCTTGGGGAAAAAAGCTGCATGGGCTCGTTTAGGTTTCTTTACAAGGTAAAATGTTTGTCTAGAGCAGGCTGTGGATTGTTAGGAGAACTACGGAGGCAGGAGCTCCTGGCTGGGAACTGGCAGTGAGAGGTTTGGCACATCATGTCCACCGTGGACAGCAGAAAATCTGCACAAAGCGTATCTCTCTGTTCTCCTGCAGCTGCCAGACAGCTTTGCACCAGTGCTAACAAAGGGTGTAGAGTTGGTGAAGTGCCTTGCAGTTTTGAGTGGAAACTGTCTGTTTTATTGGATATGCTTCTGCCTGATAGTTTTCCGTGTTGCTGGCTTGGCTTGCTCACTGGTTGCCGTACTGCTCCTCCGTGTCACCTGCATTATCCCTTCACTGCGGAATTAACCCCGACGGTGCACACGGACCAGCCTTGCGTTGGTGTGAGCTCCCACGCTTCATAACCCCGTGAAGATGTGTCCACACCAGCTCCGCGCTTTTGCAGCTGAAGTACAATCCGAGTCCCCACCCCACCGACCTCAGCACTTCGGTTGGCAGCCGTTCTCTGTCCACTGTTTCCCAGTGTAGCATGGGAGAGCTTGACTGTCCTCCTCGGTCCTTAGTTCAGAATTTTTTCCGCCTTGTGAATTAGTAAAGCAAAGCTCTCCGGCTTGATGTGCTGCTGCCGCTTACAAACCTGCCTTCCTACCCCCAGCGCAGCTGCAGCAGAGGGATGATGACTGGTTCCACGTTGTTGGCATTAATGCTCCTCTCCATTTTGGCAGCAGGGGCAGATAGAGGGCAGGAGACACGGAGAAGTGATGTTGGCAGAGTTTTGTCACCCTGAGAAGCTGACAGGCTTTGGTAAGGAAACCACTTGGGTGGCGAGCGGAGATGTCCATGTTGGAACAGCTGATGCAGGTCTTTAAAATCTCTGGTTCCTCCTAGGCTGACTGCAAAGGAGCTGAAGCAGAAAGATAGGTTCAGACTGCAGAAGTGACCATCAGCGGTGCTGTGAGAAACACGCTTTTTCTGAAACAGTGTGAAAAACTACACCAAGGCTCGTAGATAAAAGAAATTACGGCAAACCAGCAGTGGCCTGCTGTTACTGCAGGGTGGCTGTCGCCGCTGGTGACACGTGGGCGGCTCATCAGTCTGCTGATGGTAGATCAGCTCTTTGTCCCGTGGTGGTTTGTACCTCCCTTAGTTGTACCATTTACTCCCTGGCGGTGAAGGAGCTGGTGGTCTGTACAGAGCAACAAGCTTGGAATAAATGCAGAAACTGAAACGGTGCTGGGATTTATCTGTCCACATAACTTACAGATGCATCTCCAGCAGGAGCCCCAGTGCCTGGTTATCTTGCACACCTCGGCTGTCCGTCACAGGGACAGTTTTAAAAGCACCACGAGGAAAAATGATTCCGCAGTATTCTGTAGTTACAGCATTTCAAGCTTGTGCAAGAGGAAATCTTCCTTCAGTGGTGCGGATGCCGAGAGGGTGTCGCTGCTTTCTTGTGTAAGTGCCACGATGGCCCCCCCGGGCTGGGCTTCCACTGGGATGCCCTTAGCGTGTGCGAAGAGTACCGTGAGCTCTGTAATAGCAGTGGTTTTGTAGCACTGGTGCTCTGAGAGTCAGAATATTGTTACGGGGAGGCAGGAGCTTTCCTCAGATCCGCCGACGTAGTTGGGAGAGCGGGGAAGGGCGGCAGCCTTCATGGATACTTCTTCCTCCCCGAACTTGGAAGGAGGTCTGCTTCCAAAGTGGAGCATGCTATGGCGCTTAGGGTGTGCGAAAATGAGATGAAGTCGCTGTGCACCGACGTCCCCGAGTAGACGAGCCCTGGGGACGCTACCGATGTGTGTGTTACCACCGAGTAGCTTGTGTCCTGGTAATCCTTAGCACCGCTTATTGCGTGCTCAATTCCCGGTGCAGAGCAGCCTAGAGAAAATCCTGCAGAGCAGGGAGTGATTTTTATATTGTAAATATCTGGATTAATAACCAGCATCTCCTCAAGCGTTTGTGGTTTGTTTTTTTTTTTAAATGATGATGACAAATAATATAGAAACAGCCCTGAGGTTCATTACGTTGGATTGTAAGGCCTCAGCCCTCATTAACTGATCTCTGCTGTCAGTTAGCAACAAATCACCTCCCAGTGAGAGCCTATTAAGACCAGATGACCTGAAAACAAGTGCCACTGCCTCCAGTGGTCTGCTGAGACCCGGTATTAATTAAAGCGAGCCCCTTCCATGTTTGCAGTTGGCAAGCGACGCGGGGAGAAGGCTCATGAAGTGACAGATCAGTTGACTTGTGATTGTGCTTCCCATCGTCTTCACCCTCCGTGTCTTTATCCCACAAGAGGGACAAACAAGTTGCTTTCTCACGCGTACAGAAGAGCAGATTTTGGCTTTACGCTTCTTGCAATTAAACTAGAAGTCTTAGCAAATCTTTGCAAATAACCTGATTCTTTTCCCATTTTAGAGAGAGAGGAATTGCTGTCAGAGAGAGGCAACGCTTCTCTCAGCTCCAGCGCTACATCTGGGACGCCTGATTTGCAGCCCTTCAGGATGAGTTTTTTGAGAAATCAATATTCTTTTTTTCAATATTTTTCAGTATCTCGATATTTTTTTCCCCAATACTCCTTTTTTTTCCACCTACTCCCAGCTCAACACGATTCACAGCATAGCTTCAGGCAAGGAGAGCTATGCCAGGTCCAGAGTTTTATCTCTTCTCCCATGCAGTACTGGGTGCAAGCAATCACTTGAAGTAAGGCTAGCAGAGACATCAGAAGGGATAATTTTAAGACTGAGTGTGGGAAAAGAGGTGAAAAGGCTGAGAGAACGGATCTCTTCCATCTCTAACTTCTTACGTGACACTTCTGCACCGTCTCTGCCACCAGGCACGTGCCGAGACCTGGGCTACCTGCTCCGCACGAGCGTGTGACATCTCCGAGCTTCGCTTGCGGCGGACAGTATGTTTAGAGGAGTCTGATTACTGTTAAGTAACCTAGATTTCTGTTTCTCCTTCTGTGATTGTAGTGTATTTTTATCACATTCTCCATACACCAGCCTCCTTCCTGCCTTTTCTTTTGATTGCTCTCGTTTTACTGCTTTTCCGAACACTGAGCAGTAATTGTTTTGTTTTTTTTTCCCTAAACAATTGAGTGGATTCCTGTGATTAGGCCTTATTTTCTGATATCTGGCTGCTGTTCATGGTGGTGGTGTACGAAGCGCAATTAATACCAGCTGGTTTTCCTAAGCAAGGCAAACAAAGGCAGAGAGTAGTAAAAAGACTTGAGAAAGACCAAGCATATTTTA